AAATTTAATTCAGAATTAATTAAAGCTAAAAATTGGTTTTAAGATTTTAATAAAAAGGTGTAGCTAGGATTTAACTTCCCCAATGGTTTCCAAACTAGTTTACCTATTCTTATAATCCCATTCAAGATTCAATTATTAACAGTTCTTTCTATATTTGATTAAATCTCAATCCCTTGGTAATCCAATCCTTTACTCCACTCAAAAGCCTAATCCCTTAGTACTTTTTCATAAAGTAAGCATTCACGCAAGAACGTACGGTTATAGAATTCATAAGTCTATCCCTAGATCATACATATTCCAGCAATCAACCAATCAGAATCATACACCAACATCCCTATTGTCATGCACGACTCATATGTTTATTTACAAGTGATCAAGTCATAAATAAAACTAAGCATAAATAACAGATTGATTGCATAACTTTAAATCATGAATATAAATTATAAGAAAGGCAAATAGCGTTTAAGAACCCATTGGTTTCGTCTCGCCCTAACTACATAAAGTAAATTAGCTAGACATAATTATAAATGCAGAATTGAAATAAACAATAAAAGAAATAAGGTTCATCGTAAAACTTGATTAATGGAGACTATCAATGATGCAAATGGCATTCGTTCCTTCTCCTCTGCAACGCTCCAGCATTCCTCTTCGCTCCTGCCTTCGTCTTTGTCTCTGACTTCGTCTTTCTCCGCGTTCCAGAATATCCCTTTACTGCTTCGTTCGCTTTGTATTTAAAGGGTGAAATTTGGGCTTCTGAAATTTAGACCAGCTCGCTGAAGCGAGCAACTCAGCGAGCACTTGTTACTGGTGGCTCCTTTACTCGCTCATGCGAGGACTTTTGCGAGATGCTCGCTCGAGCTAGGAGCTTTGCGAGCTGCTCGCCCACTTGCTCGCTAAAGCGAGCAGTGGAGCGAGCGTTACAATTTTTATATTATTTATTATTTAATTTCTGATTTTTCCATTGCTCCGCTACAATTTTTATATTATTTATTATTTAATTTCTGATTTTTCCATTGCTCCGCCGATTCTACTGTTCGCTCGTCCTTATCATATTGGCACTTTTGTTATTTTAGTTTCATCAACCTGAAACAACAACAAATATTTAAAATTTTGTCTATTTGTTGACAATTCATTTTGTTTTACTGTTTTATTGTTTTATCACTATATTTTTAACTATTTTAATAATTATTTGAACTCTTTTTAACCATAAAAACATAGTGTCTTGGACACTTATCAGTGAGACAATAAAGTCATACCCTGAAGGAAGTTAGGCGCAATAATGTTGTGGGTTTCTCAGTTCTCATATGACTCTCAAGTTGTTTCGTTGTCAAAATTTGGTTTTAGTCTTTTTCATAGTCTTTTCAAGTCATATAAATGATGGTGTTCTTTTGGAATCTGTATCTGTGGATAATTTGGATCAAAGATAGATGTTCCACAGCATGTAACTTTCTCTGGAATATAATATTCGTTATTTGACATATATAAATGGAAGCGTGTGCGCGAAAAACTAATTGATCACACAAAGAATGCTCTATTGGCTACTGTTCTCAAAGCTTGATCCTGATGAGTCATTTAGATTATTGCATTTCATGGAGAGATATATATATTTTCGACATCAATGGAATTTGCTTCAAATGATGCTGTTGAAACAGCCGGAAAAAGATGAGTTTGATTTGTATTTTTTTATGGGATTAATATCATGTTATAGGAGATAATTGTATCTCCTATACAGAAATAAAAATCTGTGGAGCCCATGTGAAAAGAAGATAGAGAAAAACAAAATATCGACCCCACACGCTTTTATCTTCTATAACATGAGAAACATTTTTTTTATATATAGATTTAGGAATTTTTCTTGTTCAGTTTTTTTTATTAGTTTAGTTTTCATGTTGATAAATTAAGATTTTTTTTATTACATGTGTCTTTTTTATTAAAAAATCTTAAAATAATTAAAATGATAAAAAGTATCACAAAATAAAAATATTTTTTTTTTGCAAAATACTTCTTTGGATTTTGTTTAATTAAAATCAATTGATTCATAGTTATTTTTTAAAAAATGACATGATTTTGAACTCCTTATTCCATTAAGTCAAAATTGAATTTTTGTGATTTAATTTCTTCGGTAAATATTTTCTTATTTTCATTTTATTCGACTTTTTTTACTTTTTTTTACTTTATTTTATAAATAAAGTAAATATTTTTAAAAATAGTAATAATTACACAGTTAATTCGTTTAAGATAATTACACAAATATTTTTAAATACTAGGTATAAGTTTACAACATAAAATGGTTTCTTAATGTGTTTTAATGTAAATAAAATCAATGAGTTCTCCGTTTTAATTTTATTAAAAACATTTCTGTTACCTGCTGATGGCAGTATTGAGACGCAGACATCTAATCCTTTCACAATGTATTGGATAGTTCCTCATGCATAGGATAGTTTTGAGCTTGAATTTTATAAATGTTACATATAAATATACACTTTGTCAATCGTGAAACCGATCCTTTCTGAATTTCTTCATAATCCATAACATAATATAGAAATCAGATATTCCCTATCTGGCGTAATCTCCTATTTATTGTATTGGGAAAGGCCATTGAGAACTGTCGTGGGAATTCTTTACGCAGTTAGTAGAGTCTTGTTGATAATATATTAATTGGTCGAAGATTGATATTTATTTGTATGCGTATGGTGGTAAATTCTCGTCAAGTACTGATCAGCCCTCAAGGAATTGGGTCACACACGGTTGAATTTAGTTCACACAGGTGTTTTGATGAAATAGTTGGACGTGACGATTAGTTCATGTAGGCATTTTGATGAAATAGATGGACGTGACGGGATATTTTCTCTATCATGCTGATTGTTATTGTGGAATAGAATTTTCAATTAGGCAGTTGTGTATTTTGATTGAAATAGGAGGAGAGAGTAGATATCTACAAGAACACTCAAGTCAGTTAATTATATTGCTAAGACTTAGCTAGAATTATATTGCTGATGAGGAAGTTTATTAGACTTGTGCTGTTGGGATCTAATTATTTGCGTTAGGGAATATATTGCGAGATTATATGTACACATATTTAATTAACGCATTTAATTTTTTTTTTTTTTAGTATTTCTATTAATCGGTTCATCCTTTAGGACTAATCCGGCCAGGGGCTGAGAGCAACAAGGATAATCCCCCTCCCAACAGATGCGCTTCTCGGATGTAGAACTTGAGTCCTTCACCCTACGGTAACCCATTTAATTTAAACTTATGTTAAACTATTATTTCATTTGGTTCTGTATGGCTCTTAAAATAGATCTAGATCAAGTAATTATAAAATGCCGAGTTCGATCATTGATGATTTTGAGGCATTGGGTTATTGCAAACTGTAAAATGCCGAGCTAATCATTGGAATTTTTAAAGGGTCTGTTCTGGTCAGCACCTTTAGATCTAATAGATTAAGCCAAATGTTAATATCCTGTATCTAAAGTTTTCACAGGGCATTTCATGATATGTTATATAGCCTCGTTATAGGCTATTTTCTTTATCTCTGCATTATTACCTACTATATACAGGTGGCAAAGCACGCTTTGTCCGCCCCAGCTAGCCGCCTCATCCCGTCTCTAAAGATGGACAAGAAAACTCAGCTCGCCAAACCCGTGACATTTTACGTTAATTTTTTTTTTTTAAAAAAAATTCAACCCGCACGGGTTGGATTTGAAAAACTCAATCCGTCCCGCACAAGTTTGGCTAACGAGGCGAGCCAAACCCGTTTTGCCATCTCTATTACTATATACTAACAGTCAACGCAACACGTCTTGTAGTAGAGGCAAGGATTGACACAATTGGTACAACTCTGTCCCCTCCCCTCATTCTCTACCCCACGCCCACGCTGGACGAGTAATATCTCTCCTCTTTAAATAGCCTCTTCTCCCAATAAATGAACATTTCTATTCTATTCATTTTCATGAGTTGTTACTCCACTAAAATTATAGAACCACCATAGCCAAACACACTCCCCATTGCAGTATATCTATCTTGCTTATATTAAGACACTTTGATACATCTTCGGCTGTACACACAAACACTCAAAGTTCAGGGCCAATATCTCGGTGCTTCGATGTCACGTTCATAAAAGACTCTGATGAGAAAAGGGAAAATAGAAAACAAAAATATATTCGTTACAATAGTCACCGACTATAAGGTATGACGTATGAGAATTTGGGTCAATTGATACCGTTCATAACGCGTACCGGCCTATTGGTGTGATTCTCGTTAAATTTCTTCCCAGCTAGTGCATGCGCTTATGTTAGTCCTATTTTTTTTTGGTAAGCTATGTTAGTCTTATTTTATTTGACAGCGACATTCCATAATCACAATCTTTTAGGTCGCTGAAAATTTTGACCTTTCTACTCGTTTGACAGAGCACGACCAATCCCAACATTATATGCCTGGGAAAGCTATACAGAACAAGTTATATCTAAAAATAGTATGAGATGCCCGGAAAACAAAAAATTAATAATAGTTAATTAACGAAACAAAAATTACAAATCTAACTTTGAATTAAGTTTTCACATGCATTTTTGTCTCTCAATAATATTTGCACGTCAGCTTTCCAAAGTTATACTCATGTAATGTTTTTTAAATGATAAAACAAGAAAAACACACATTTCAATAGACATTTTCTCTGTCCTGTATTTTCGGAACAAAAAAGTGCAACAAATTATATCCAAAAAAAAAAGAAGTGCAACAAATAATGTAGAGCCGTGGACCGTGGTATATAAATATCATTACTGTATGTCCTTGCCATGATCCTTTCTCTACGTGAAGCTCTTCTATACGCTTCCATCCACAAAGAACACTTTTCCGCCACTTATAAAATCCCCTCTCTATTATTGTATTCAGAAGAATGAAAACATTCCCTCTTCTCATTCTCTTATCTCCTCTCTTTCAGTGTCACTCTCTAAACCCCAACTCCAACAGTGAGACTCACCATGAGAACACTACGCCCACTTCCAACACTCCCTTCAACCAAAACCAACACCCTCATGAAACAACGCTGCATAACCATAACCCAACCATCAAAACCATCCAACAACAACAACTTACACCTATCATATGACACACATCAAGCAGCATTAAAATTAAACAAAATGATAAACCTAGAAGAACATAATAATTTTTCGTCCTTTCAATCATCATCTTCTTCTTCTTTTGGCCTTAGAACAGAGAAACTTGGAAAGAGGTGGATGCAGTACCAAGGCATGAGCAATTGGGACGGTTTGCTTGACCCATTGGACGAAAATCTACGTTCTGAAATACTACGGTACGGCCATTTCGTAGAAGCTACGTATAAATCCTTTGAGTTTGACCCTTGTTCCTCCAACTACGGAAACTGTAGGTTCCCAAAGAGCACACTTTTCGAACGTTGTGGTTTACCTAACACAGGGTACAAGGTAACCAAACATCTACGCGCAACCTCAGGGATTCAACTACCTAGTTGGGTTGACAAAGTACCAAGCTGGGTCGCAACTCAATCAAGCTACATCGGTTACGTGGCAGTGTGTGAAAACAAGGAAGAGATCAAAAGACTTGGTCGGCGAGACGTTGTCGTTGCATATAGGGGAACCACCACGTGCTTGGAATGGCTCGAGAACTTACGCGCCACTCTCACCAACCTCCAAAATATTCCATGCAATAAAGGGGCCATGGTGGAAAGTGGATTCTTGAGCCTCTACACGTCATCACTCTCCTCCACGAACCAATCGTTCATGAGTTTGCAAGAAATGGTGAAACAAGAGATTTCACGGATCCTCCAAACCTACGACGGAGAACCGCTGAGTCTCACCGTCACCGGCCATAGCCTCGGGGCGGCATTGGCCACGCTCACGGCGTTTGACATCAAAACGGCCTTCCCTCTCCAGCCGGTGACGGTGATCTCCTTCGGTGGTCCACGTGTCGGGAACCGGAGCTTCCGGCGGCAGCTTGAGAATCAAGGGACGAAGGTTTTGCGCATAGTGAACTCCGATGATGTTATTACCAAGGTACCAGGTTTTTGTTTCGACGATGACGTGGCGCGCAATGAAGGGCTCCACGTGGCTGGTATTCCGAGGTGGTTACAGAAGAGGGTGGAGGAGGCACAGTGGGTGTACGCTGAGGTTGGGAAGGAGCTTCGGTTGTGTAGCAGGGATTCTCCGTACCTCGGAAGCACGAATGTCGCCACGTGTCACGAGCTGAACACGTATCTTCACCTCGTCGATGGCTTTGTCAGTTCCACGTGTCCGTTCAAAGCCACCGCGAATAGGTTCCTTCCGCGGTGACAGCTACGGTACAGTGGGGTCCAACCCAAACTATTGAAAAAGAAAGGGAGACAAGCATTAATTCACGGTTAATTGTAATTATTAGCTTAGTGTAAAGTGATAATTTGTTAAATATCAATGATTAGAGACTAACTTATTCCGTGGCTGATTGTTTTTAGGAACCTCGATCGTTCTTCTTTGAAGTCGCACAAACAATTTACGAGTTAAATTCTTATCGCTAAAAAATGGGTGTGGTCATGTTTCAAGTCCAAATTTTTTTTACATTAAGAAGTATGAAACGTTAGAGATAAATAATATAAAACATTAAAGCCTTTACTTACAAGTTAAGGTTTTAGGTGAGATAATTATTTAAAAGGGTACCGTTACACAATCTCCGCTATTTCTACTAGTAGAGTATTTGATCATTCACGGTTCATTTTGGTTTGAGTTTAAGATAAATAAAGTACAATTTAGATTGATTAATTTGTTAGAAAAATATAAAATCATTAATGTGTCCTTATCCAACTCCAAAAACTTTTGGATTGAAATGATTTTTGGGAAAACTACAAAAAAAACTCCTATAAATTTTCTCAAAATCACTTAACTCCTTCTCCAAAATTTTTAATCATTTATCCCCATACTTAAAATTTATTTATCACTTATCTCCTAATTTGATTTTTCATCAAAAATTTTGTTAACAGAGTTAATTTTTTTTAAAAAAATACCAAAATTTTCTTTAATAGAAAAAAGAAAAGCATAATTTCCTCACAAACACAGTTTTAGACGAACTCACAGAATGTGTTTTCTTTAAGGTAGCCTTGTTAGAATTAGTAATTACTCAAATTATTTTTTGCAAGTCCCATTGCTATTAAACACCGCACTCACAATTGTTGATGTCGTTGTTCAAATAAAATGATTAAAGAGGCACTATTTCAGCATGTTTAGATCTTTCCTTTTCTGTTATAACATTTTCTTCTACTATACGATCAACAAATCTGACTTTATAAATTTATTTAGAGCCGCACTTTATTTTGTTTGCACAGCAATTGAAAAACTTTACGTTATGTGCTTCATATATGCCTTGTTTTTCCTTAATCATATGATATTACCAAGCAAACATGCAGAAAGTGTCATTTCATTGTTTTCTGTGTCGTTGAGAGTAGATGGAGGGTTCAATCGTTGATTTACTTTCATGTCTTGCTTATGTGAGTTTGTCTAAAATTGCATTTGTGTTGAAATTGTGTTTTTCTTTTTTCTATTAAGGGTAATTTTGGTACCTTTTAAAAAATTAACCTCTTAACAAAATCTTGGATGGAAAATCAGTAAGTGATAAAAAAATTTTAAGTAGAGTGATAAATGATTAAAAATTTCGGAGAGGAGGTTAACTAATTTTGAGGAAACTTATAGAGGAGTTTTTGAAGTTTTCCCATATTTTTTTGCATAACCTTAATTGAATTGATGTAACTTGATTTTTTTTCTAAGAAAAATTAGCTAACCTAATTTAAATTAATTTGACCAAGATTTGATTGGTTGTAAATTTAATATAATAGAAACCTCATTATTTTTTATTTTTTTAAACTCATTTGTTATCTTCTTTTATTTTTTTTATTTCCTTTTATTATATATATATCAATTAAAATACTAGTTATTTACTCTTCTATGATATGTTGCAATAGTGAAATTACTTCTACTTTTTTTCATTTATATCTGTACTCAAAATATGATGAGGAAGAAGTTGAATACTAAATGTGATCAAAAGCATTTAATTTGATAACAAATTGAAGAATGGATAAAAGCGTAACGAAGAATAAATAAAAAAATTCAAAAGGAGATCGAGGAGATACCTAATTAAGTTTAAAAGCACAGCTTTTAAAGGTTAGAAATAATAAAAAAAAATATGGAGAAATAATTGAGTCGAGAGTTGTAGAGTTATAAATTCTAAAACTTAATCAATAATAACTAGTTTGGATCGAATTTAACTAAATTAAACTAATCGGAACTAATTTAATTACTTTAATTTTGTTTATCGATCCAACTCACTTCAAAAGTATTTGATATACGCAGGAGAAGGGCATATTTTAGCACGATAAAAGTGTCGTTAAAAATGTGAAGCTTGTTTGGATCTATCGGTGGTGGGAACCACTTTTGCATGGCTTAAATTATCAAATCGACCTCGGTCGGTTATTACAGTTTCTCTTTTAGATTTTTTTTTTTTTAACAATCGTATGTTGATGAGTTGCTGAATATTTATTATAGATTTAAATTGTTGAAGGGGTCAATGTATTTCATTTTTTTTAATGAATAAACTTCACACTACAAGCAGTTTATATATATATATATATATGGGCAAGATCATCTTACACCGGTGTAAGAATAATAAATCTTACACTAAATCCTAATCATTGATTTTCTACATCTGACGGTTAAGATTTATTAGGTATCACTCATTAATTAATTAAATCTCAACCATTGGATGCACGGAAATCAACGGTTAAGATTTGATGTAAGATTTATTATTCTTACACCGGTGTAAGTTGATCCTATCCCTATATATATATATATATATATATATATATATATATATATATATATATATATATATACAACAATGTCATGTGTCAATTTCTTGTGAGCCGATTTCCTTACCAAAAGATTCACTTTTCTATAGCAACCTTCGTACTACAAATAATAATATTTGGTGCAAATCATCACCACTACTTTAATAAAAAGTAATATTTATCATTTGAAAAAAAGACATCACTTATATCATGTGTTTTTTTCATGTTATAAATTATTTTCCTTGGTCAAATTTTATTTTTGACTTTATTCAACATATATAACAAACAATCTTTTTTAATAAAGTTGACACCTTAAAAGTTTGGATTTTAAAATAATACTTTACTCTCCCAATCATTCTATTTCATTACCATTTGCTGATTTATCCTATTTGTCACCTCTAAATATTCTTAATTAATTCTTAAGCATTGTCAACTCATAATTATTAGGAAACAAACAGTCATTTATTTAGCAGATTTTTAGCCTTCTCATTTTGTCCTAAATTAAGTATTAATCAAATTAATTTAGGATTTTATTCTAAATTTTCATTATACTACCTAATATGGCGCCGTCCAAACCCATCATCATATACGGTCGGTCATGGTTGGAACGAGCACACACTATGGCTGTTTGCGTACTTCACTTCGTCTATCTTTATTTGTAGGGTGGCGATGGTCAAATAGAATAAAGACGACGCGTGCACGAGTCACTATTCAATTATATTGTTGGATTATGACAATTGCCGTTCCTCGATTTTCTCGTGATCTTCTTTGTTGTAATCCTTTTAAAATCAATTTAGAAAGTCCAATATATTGATAATTTAAATGAAATAATATGTTTACAAACAGGTTTAATAAGGGAGAGTATAATTATTTAGATTCACATAGGCTTGAGCCCAATAACTTATATATATTAATTTTAGGATTTTTCTTAAAGGGGAAATAACACGGTTAAGCAACTTTACACCTTTCTCTCTCAAATCCATAATCTCCTACACAATCAATCTAAAATTTATTTGTTGAAAATTGTCTCCATTATATTTAATCAATAAGTTACTTGGTAAAAATACTAAGCACAAACGAAAAAAAAAAATCAAACTACTTCTTATTTTTTAAAAGTAAATAATGTCTAAATATAATTAATTTATCCATTACACTTATTTTAAGAAAAACATGCTTTCAATTGACATAAAAGTTATTCTAGCTAACAATATTATTATTCCAGAATTGAGAAAAACTTTTATATAAACTTTTCCATTTTTAGGATGAAATACTTTTTTCTTTTTTTAAAGAGTTTTTTAAATTACACAATTTTTTCTATATTTTAAAAAATTACACTCACCTTACCTAAATATTATTATGCACTATTTTTTAATTATTTTAACAGGAACAAGTATCTTAATTACTCTTTGGACGGTCAGCATCATCCGCGGCTAGTTTTGAATTCTTATTATAAATTTTGTGACTTTAGAACATGAAATGAATATTTTGGACGAAATCTCAATGCTGATAGTAGGTGACTAGGTATTTCCATTTTCCACATTTTCATTTCATCTTTAAATGTCTCAAATTTGATAGTAGATTGTTTGAAATTAGCTGCCGATGATATTCAGAGTCACAGTAGGAGAAAAAATTGTTACTAGTGGACTTGTTCGTAGTTACTCACCGTCTTTAAGAAGCTTATTTATGTTCCAAAAAAAAAAAACTAAAGTGCATCACATATTAATTTCCTAATAAAGGGGAATGTAATTTTATAAAATAAAGATAAAAGTAGCTAGTGTAAATTGAATATTTAATGTATTTTTTTATTCGTAAGGTGGTGTATAGAGAGAAAGCGTATATTGAAGTGTAATACAAATCAATTTGGTTAGAATTTAATCGTAAAATCAGACAATCGTTAAAAGAATTTAACGTCACTTGCGCTATAGCTCTCACCGATATATTTTTCATTTTTTTAAAAAATAAATCAATATATATATTAGGGTCCAGCAATATTAGCCCCTCCCCTTCAGTGCGCCCCCTGACCTCATCAAGTGAAATAGATTTAATTTAACCACCTAAATAGTTCAAATCTATAAGTCAAAAACATATTAGGGTTCAAATTAACTTGGCCAGGGCCTTTTGACCCTTGTAATGCAAAATAAATAAATATATTATTGTTTTAATTTTTTTGACAAACTATTTATCAATTTAATGTAAGTAAAACACTCAGGGAGATTGTGCACATTCAAGTCACTCACATCCCTGTGCGTGACTTATGCAAAAGTCAAAACGCGACTGTTACATGTCTCGCTTTGTAATACATGCATAGAAAACATGTGATTGCGCATCTTGCATTGAGCTAACTTTTGTACAAGTCGCATATGTGATAATGCACAAACATTCATTCTTTATATTTCAGTCACATTAGATTAATAAATAATTTATTAAAAGAATTAAATTGATAATATATTTGTTTTTTTTCAT